CCCCAAAACCCCAAAACCCCAAAACCCCAAAACCCCAAAACCCCTAGGGAAAATTAAAAAATTGAGAAAAATGAAGGAGTTTTCTGAAATTTTACTTTTGGTGTTAGAAATAAGGAGGGAAATTGAAGGGATTTTGAAGAATTTGGAAGCTTTGTCTTGCTAAAAGTCATAAAATTTTATTTAGCTTCATTTCCTAGGAGAATATTCTCTGGAGTAAGAGGGTACACTAGCCTATGAACTTAGTAAATAATGCTTACAAGTTACCATTGAGGTAACCTCAGAAGTTTGTGAAGCCGGTCGGTCCTGAAAAAAAATTTAACAAACTTTAACATGTATTAGAACGAATTTAATAATGATTTCATTGAATATTCCTCTAGATCTTTCTAATGTCCGTTTGCCTTCACGTGAAGAAGTAGGCATCATTAGTAATCTTTGGGAATAATTTTCCAAAGGAGAATAATTTAGACCTCAGGCTTTTCAGCCTGGAAAAGATGATTAAGAATCGGACCTGAAGAAGATACACCTTCTTCATAAAACTCATCATCTTGGGCTTGAAACTGCCCAAACAGATGAGTTTCTGAGTAATCGCTAGTAGCGAAGCCATCAAAAGGCTGATCAGTTTGGTCCTCGTAATCAATAAAATTAGGATTGCTTTGAAATTGTTCGCAAAGTCTTTGTTCTAATTTTTCTTCTTCGGGACTTTTCACAGGAAAATCGCATCTGGAAAAGTTAAAACTCGGCTGTTCATCAATCGTAAATTTTCTGATGTTTGTGTCTGCCACAAATTTTTTGTCCCTGCTAGAGGGGGCCAAGGCACTCTCTAGATGATCAGCAGGGGCTGAAATTTGCCCAAAGCTCGTGCCTCCATAATTTTGAGGGATCGATGGAGACTTTGATCCAAGAGAATTATCTGGAACTAGATCTTTCTTCCAGTTCTTGGGATAATAATCTGTATTTTTCCTCTTCAATTTAGCAACATTTTGTGAACTTTTGCAAGATACCGTCGGTTTAGAACTCTGAGGAACAACTTGAGGAGGATAATAGTACTGATTTTGGGCCATGGCATATTGATTTTGCTGAGGTGGGTAATATATCATCGGAGATTGTTCATACGATATAGGAGCTGGAGGCATAGAACTTTGCCAATAAACTTGTTGATATTGTGCGTAATATGGCTGGCCATATTGGCTATATGAGCTCATCATCCTAATCTCCTCCTGTCTTTGTTGAACAATTTCTAGTTCTTTTTGGTGATTAATATTTCCAAGTTTGAGTGCAAAAGGCTCACTTGGTGTATCCTCAAAGTTTTTAGATTTTATATCTTTAATTATGATAGTAAGGACACTCCTTCCTCAAGACTTGAGCACATCTAGCCTCTTTGCAAGGAGAGCGTTTATAGACGCTTGGATGATAAACTTCTTCCTTCCAGCCATGGCTATATTTGCAATTTTCCATGTCTTTACACCCTTCAGAGTACTGTGTGATGTATCGAGCAGACTTCCAATTTTCACACTTGGTGCTACAATAGCTGAACAGTTTAGGATTTCTCCTGAAATCCTGCCAGTTATGAGCATATACACAGTCAGCTTTGTGATGGTCCTTTCTAAACGGACACCATTCAGTCTTAAAATAGTACTTGTAGAAGTCATCGTCCTTGGGCTTTTTATGAATCATCTGAATTTTGATTTCAGAAACTGTGTGAGCAAATGAGCAATAACTACCGTAATCACATCTTGATGTATCATAGCCAAAAGTATCTCAAAATTTAGTCCTGTATTTTTGAGGGTGGTAGAGCCTCTCAACATTGCTATGAGAGAGCTTGCAGTCATCACCCTTCAAGCATCTACCAGTTTCAGCAAACTTTCATAAGTCTGAAGTATAATTAGTATTAACTCTTCTGCGATCCTTTGCAGAGTGGTAATATTTTCAGTGCTTAGGGTTATGTTTTCCCTCTATAGCACACTTTTCCGTCTTGAATATTGTAAGGTCAAGCTCAGGCTCTTTAGGCTCTTCCCAGGTCTCCATTGTCTTGCTTAGAGTTGGTTTTGAAAATGCTCTGAATCATTAGGCAATGATCCTCTTTGATAACAATTCTTATAAGCATGTTCATTCTGGAAATCGCCACTATACTTTTTGTAGCAATGGTTTGCATATCTTGCCTGCAAAGGAGAGAAAGATACACTATTTGTAGTTCAGCGAGTGCCTAGCATTCATACCTCCATTGTTGGATGTAGAAGAATTCTTCTTGCAGAAGCTAACATTGTGAGAAAAGCTTCCAGGACTCGTTGATTTCTGTGATTGAGTCATTTTTAAGTCAATACTATGACCATTACTTGTAGAATCATCAAAAATTTCTTGGTCTTCTTTACATTCAAGTATATTTTTATCTCCTGAATTATCACCCTCCGGGGAGTTTTCTTCTTTTTCTTCAAGACTTAGGCTCGACATTCGGAGAGTCGGCACAGATTCATTCTGAATTTCTTGCTCGTTATTTATCACACTTTTGACATTTTTCAACTTCAATTGGTCTGCAATTCCCTGATCAATCATGGATCTCTAAAAGATATAATTATCATCAAGTCTAATGGAAATGAATAAAAATAAGAGAGTAGGATACGAGCTGGGAAGACTATGCTAAGATTAGAAACTACTCCCAAGCTATTTTGAAATTCTTTAGTCCTTATCTCCCGATATTCTTTGATGCTAAGTAACCATTAACTCTTCTACAACCTCAATATCAATTGCTTTATTATATAATCGCAATCAATATTCCTTGCCTCTTAAGGGGTTTTGGGGTTTTGGGGTTTTGGGGTTTTGGGGTTTTGGGG